AAGTTAATCTATTTGCAGCACATGGTTGATCATTGATACAAAACAAGAGAACAGCAGCCTTTAGTGTGATTGACAGTGGCGAACCGTGTCTATCACAACTGGACCTTCTGTAGACTAGACACCCCCCCCCCCTCACCCATTATAATGTCCGTCTTTTCACCGAATTGTCGTCTTGAAAAGGGTACTCACAACAATTCCGCAACAACTTCATCTTCACCTGTTGCACTTGTCATTTCAACGTTAAAAACAATAAAACGGCATGAATTGCTTCGTCGCATTCATCTAGATCCTCTGTCTCGAGCCAGTTAACTAGCGGGCCTTCTAGAACACTCTGAAACCGAGGGGAACTCTGAAAGAACACGCCCATTGGCTACAAATCAATATATGATTGGTTGATCAAACTGTCAGTCTGAACGTACGCTCTCATTCAGAGCAACGGCCAGGGCATTCGATCAAGGATGTAGAATACCTTGGTTGAAGGATATTCTACCCAGAGACCCAGAACAAGATCTGATTGGTTGCTTTCTTTTCTAACACAAAACCACTGAAATGCGTAGTGCATGGTCCGAGAAGGACAAACAAATCAACGTAACACTGTAATATTACAGATCAACAACACAGGTACCATTCTCATTTATTCATTTTATATACATTTTATTACATTTTATTTATATAATTAAATCGATTTGTTGTTTGTTTTATCTGAGTGTTCCAGGGTATTCTCTGAACACCTTGAAGGCCCTGACGGTTCACCACTGGATTATGACACATAAAGCGCCAACAAGTAAACATTAGGACTTATTTTAGGTAACGTACCTGATTTATGTATTTATGTACCTGACCGTACTTACTTATTTTAACTGAAATATGATGCTCCAACCAAAGTATTGAACACAAATACGAAAAGGCACCCGTTGAATGTTTTATATATACGGCTGTTGCTACCCTCGGTTACAATTGGACTTTAATAAGGTTACATAAAGTACCTATAGGTTGGTGACCAAAATAAAATGAAACTAACCTCGTAAGATAACTCTAGAAAATTGCACACTGAAAACACATTTTCTCTCTTAACAAAAAGAGTCCATGTTTTGTGTGGACAAAGCGCAACCCACTGCTGTTCCAGAGGCCCATTGTATTTTTCTCAGGAGGTTTGACGTGTCACTTTCATTGAAACAGTACCAGCATTTCAGTTGGACAAATAGCTTCAATAAAGTGGGGATGGGATGCTTCACACATTGGTCCAAACCAATAAACCAGTGTATTTGGACAACAATATCTTCCAATTGTATGGAACTATATAGGGCCCATTTTATAAAAAGTGTTTTGTTTTTTTGGTCACTGGTTGGCTGGCATGTTATTGCATGTGTGTGTGTGTGTGTGTGTGTGTGTGTGTGTGTGTGTGTGTGTGTGTGTGTGTGTGTGTGTGTGTGTGTGTGTGTGTGTGTGTGTGTGTGTGTGTGTGTGTGTGTGTGTGTGTGTGTGTGTGTGTGTGTGTGTGTGTGTGTGTGTGTTTGAGACCCACAATCCAAAAGAGACGACGAGGTGGAACGTGAGACTCCAATGCTAGGTTTCACTTAATCATCTCCTGATGCTAGTGTAAACACTGCATCTGATTTGAGCTAATTGGGTTTGTAGTCAGGGTAAATAGAGTAAAAGGAAACCTCTCGCTCATTCGGCAGATCTTTCCAACCAACTCACAGCTCCTCTGTTCACTCATTCTTTTATTTAACCAGAAAGACAAAATGTTGAAACTTGTGCCAGGTATTTCCCCCCTCCTATATATTCCTCTGATCCGATGTTATAAAAAGGATTTCTGTCTCCTCAAAGTCATATGTCATTTCCATAATGTTGTTTGGTTGGACCAGAAGTTTTTCCTGCGTTGGGTAATTCGATTTTTCTTGAAAATAAGGCCGCTGGAATAGGTTATGGAGAAATGCATGGTATATATAATTTAAAGAACCTCTTCATCAATTCCCTGGCTTTGGTTTTAGAGATATATCACATCTGCAGTTATGGATCCCCCCCCCCCCTCCTCTCTCCCTCTTTTGGCATTCACGGCGCAGTCTCGAAAACGTTTTGCCGTCCAACATCTTGTCACTCACATCTCCCCTCGCTTCCTCTCTCATCATACTCGGTAATGTAGTCACACTGATTGCATTCTTCCACTAATCTAATTCTTCCCTCTTTCAGCCCCCCAGGGACTTGGAGTGGATTCACGTCACATCCATTTCAATGCCCCCCCCCCTTTTCTCTTTTCCTCATGACAGCACATACTAACTTTAGATTGAAAAGACCCATAAGCCTCGCCTGCCTTAACCACTCCGATCACATTACCGCCTTCACAAAAACAAAGCTAGCTGCTTCGATCTCATTATACATCCACGAGAACCAGTGGACTTCAGTGATCCACATCAAAGAGGATCGTACCCACCAATTAAGATAACATTTATTCCCTTTATCGTTTATTTCACCAAAGCAAATTAGCACGGGCTTCAAAAGCAGTGGCTATCGCTTCATGACGCTAATTTGTTCTAGATTATCTGTCCTTTTCCCCCGGAAGATCCATAAAGCAACCCCTGCAAACCTTCACAGAAATATCTTTGATCAGGGACTCCAAATCCCATGGTGCATTGCTAATCCGTGCGTTAGAGTGATCAATGGCCGCCCAGGTCGTCGGGGTCAAAAGGTCGCTGACTGGACTCGTTAGGGGTCAGTGTTTCTTTGAGCTGAAGAGACAGGCGAGACAAAACAAGCCTTTCTCTCAGCCTCTAAACAACAAAAAAAAGGAAAATCAAACGGCGTCTCCAAGACATAACAAATCAATCTTTCTCCTTCTGGCGAGAGATCAGGATTGATTATCCGGATGCACACAAGCCTTCACGTTATTCTGAGTCTGAAATGGAAGGATAAACAGAACGTGAAATTCAATAGTAAGGAAAGATAATTGGGAAAAGAGCAGGTTTTTCGTTAAAGAGTTGGAGATTATTTCTTTGCTTGAGTTGACTCTCTCTTTTGAAAACAGTAAACATCCACAAACCCAAAATCCTGTTGTTGGAACAACTTGAGGAAAAGCCGGTTCCAAACCAAGCCCTCTCTATTTCTTTTATGTGAAGCTGATGGCAGTGTCAGAAGCACCCAAACAGAGCGGAGTAAACACAGACACATTGATCCCACAGAGCTCCGTGTTTCTCCCACTGTCTCCTTCCCGAATGATTGAAAGTAAATAAATCACAAACAATGATCTTCCCACACGGCAGCAGGAGGAGTGATGGTGTTTGTGACGGACCGCGACCGAGCAGATTGTTAATACGCAGAGGGAGACAGTGTCGTCACGTTATCAGCAATCATTTGAATCAATCTCTGCCCTTTTCTTGCATTGAGGCAGAGCAAAAGAAGCTTTGATAACTAGACCTGAGATTGCACAGTAGGTGGAGAAGCAGAGGAAGAAGACTTGGCGCTTACTTTATCCGGGTTTAGGAAGACATGTGTTTATTAAGCAAGCCTGGTGTGCTAGTTGTCCAAAATGTGCCAAACAAAGACGTGCACAAAGTACTCAGATCTTGAACTTAAGTAGAAGTAGTAATACCACGGTTAAGAAATACTCTGTTACAAGGGAATGTTTTGCATTCATCTTACTTAAATAAAAAAGTATTGGCACCAAGATATACTTAATGTACCAAAACTATAAGCACTCAGTATGCAGAATGGCTGTTTCCTGATATTCATTAAATACCTCATATGACCTTTTATACTATCATAATCCAAAAGGAAGAAATCACTTTTAGTAGATTTAATGGATGCCAAGGAGTTGAGACAACCCCAACATAACAAACAAATCCTCTCTACAGAATTGCCCTAAACGTACCTAACAAAACAATTAAAATAACATACAGGCTTCTTGCCTAACTCCTAACAAAAACTCTAGTAACTCTATCGCTCGAGGATGGAGTCGAAAGAGATGAGTTTTCAGACTCCCCCGGAAGGTGTGTAAGCTCTCTGCTGTCCTAATTTCAATGGGGAGCTCATTCCACCATCTTGGAGCCAGGATAGCAAACCCACGTGTTTTTGCTGATGGCAACTTGGGTCCCCCTCGCAGCGAGGGTGCAGCGAGTTGTTTGGCTGATGCAGAGCGTAGTGCACGCGCTGGGGTGTACGGTTTAACCATGTCCTGGATGTAGGAAGGGCCAGATCCATTCGCAGCACGGTAAGCAAGTACCAGTGTCTTGAAGTGGATTCTAGCAGTTACCGGAAGCCAGTGAAGGGAGCGGAGGAGCGGAGTGGTGTGGGAACATTTAGGAAGGTTGAAGACCAGACGAGCCGCTGCATTCTGGATGAGCTGCAGAGGTCGGATGGTACATGCAGGTAGACCAGCCAGGAGGGAGTTGCAGTAGTCTAGGCGTGAGATGACGAGAGCCTGGACCAGAACCTGAGTCGCTTTCTGGGTCAGCTGGGGACGTATCTTCCTGATGTTGTAAAGCGTGTATCTGCAGCAGCGGGTTCTCACTCATTACATTAAACTAAAAGCACGTTACAACGTTACAAACAACTTAGATTAGATTATTTACAAAGGTACCTACTTAATAAATCAACTATGGTAAAAGTACATCAACATAGTACTTAAGTAGCAATGTACCGATACAGTAGCATTTGCAATGGTTTGGCTTATTGATACTCATGGTTAAATGCACTTTTGTTCGTAACTTCAACTTAGTGTCATCCAAATAATGTAAGAGTACTTGAGTAAGTGTACTTTCAGGTTTCACTTTTTTATCCCTTTGATTTCCTATTGTGCTTACTTGCTTCCCTATATTGGTGTACCTTATATCAGTGTCTGCAAATGTGTTGGTATTGATGTTTAAATGCACTTTTTGTTACTGTAGCAAGTTTGGGTGAAGGGTAAAAGTGTCATCTAAATAATGTAAATGTACTTTCAGCTTTCACTTGTTCATCCCTTTGTGTTCCTGCTTGTACTTACTTGCTTCCTGATATTAGTGTACCTTATATCAGTGTCTCCAAATGCTCTCATTGTTGGGTGTGTGCCCGCCCGATGCCACAGGTATCTGCTCAGTGGAGTGTGAGCCGCTACACCTGTCCTCCCCTCAGGGGGCGCTGTCCTCGGCCAGCTGGCAGCGCGGAACAGAGGAGCGGACAGATTGGAGAAGCCGTGGGACATCGGGATGAGCAGAAGACGTGGCTGAAGGTGAAGGAGAAAATAAAGGGGAATAGGAAAAGTACAGAAAGAAGAACGAAAGGTACGAGCAAGGTGGATGGAGATTTTCCAACAAGCGTACGCATGAAGGAGGGCAGATGAAGGGCAGATGAAGGGCGAATAGAATAGAATAGAATATAATTCCTTTATTGTCATCGCACCAGGTACAACGAAATACGGTTGATCTATTATAATAAAGTACTGCTGGGACTCATCTTCTGGCATAAGCTTGATCCAAACTCTACTATACAATACTCTACACCAATAATGACGATAAATACATTTTTGTGGGATAATATTGAATATCAGTTCGGTTTGATAACATAACATTTGCAACAGATATAGCCAACAAATTATAAGACATGGCAAGAAGGTATTTGATGCCAAGAAAAGCTTAAGATAATTAAAGATTGAAATACAAAAGAAACCCACTGTTGGAGCTATATATATATCTCTTTATATTATTTAATAGTTTAACATTTATTTTCTTGCTGTTTATAGTGTTTATTATTATCATTTATGTATATGTATTCTTAGTTAGCGTCATAAGTTAAAGTAGTTTCTATGCTTTTATTTTGAAGGCATGTTTTGGGCACTGGGTGATTAGAGCACCTGGTGTAATTGTGTATATTTGGAGACAGGTGGGTGATGGGGCCAGAGCACTAGTAGGCAAACGGTTTTTTACCAGGGTGTTTCAAGCCACACAAAGGAAAGCCATAGGAACGGCTTAAAGAAAAGAGATATAGGAAACCTGTTCGTTGTACTTTGTTATCGGAATAAACTGCACAAATGGAGAATCTTGTCTGGACCTGGATCATTGCCCTGCGTAAGATCTGCTAACTAGTGCCTCAGCGGCTGTATTATTTTAAGTTAATTATCTGTTTTATTTCTATATGATTTTGGCCGCTACACCCACAACATACAAAAATGGCCCTACAATTCAGCAACTTGTCATGGTGTCATGGTATATGATGACAGCTGTAATGTTTCCATCATTACATAGTATTATAAACTAATATTAGTAATAGTCATTTGGTTTGTTGTTTAAATCCAGAGTGAAGATTCATATTGGACTGTCAATTCAAGGACTTACAGTAAAACAAGTATTCTTTTGAAGGTTGGTGCACTTCCCATACGACACGCAATCACATATTTGAGCGTCGTCACTTTACTTCAACATAAACATCAGGCCTCTATTTTGAATATCATCATAATCTGTCTTTACTTGACTGTCGTATCTAAAACATTTGTCTCTATCTATGTCGTTATTTATCTGATTTTACCGTGTGTATCTTCATCCCTCACACTGCCTGTCTCCTGGGTCTAGTTAGTGTGTGTGTGTGTGTGTGTGTGTGTGTGTGTGTGTGTGTGTGTGTGTGTGTGTGTGTGTGTGTGTGTGTGTGTGTGTGTGTGTGTGTGTGTGTGTGTGTGTGTGTGTGTGTGTGTGTGTGTGTGTGTGTGTGTCAGCTTCCCTCTGTCCTGCCTCCAGGCTGGAGTGTCAGAAGGAGAAGTGAGATGTCTCTCTCCGTCCATATGCAGTTGTTAGCTAAAATACTGCTTCGCTGCTGCAAACAGCCCGGGGGGTTCAGGCAACACACACACACACACACGGGCATATAGTGATGACTACACAATATACTACACAGACAGTATACTTTATACAGTACACGGGATATACTATACACACACCTCGGCAACACGGACAGCTTATATCTCATTAGGTCGCATTTCATTCAGCGGTCATACAGTATATAGTGGGACAACACACACACACACACACACACACACACACTCACATGAGTATAATTTTAATAATGTACTCAACCTCCCTCTCTCTCACACAAACACACACACACACGCACACTTTGATCCAGCTTCCAATCTTTTTTCTTATCTCTCTCGTTCTTTTTTTCCTGCCCATGTCAGACACACACACACTTAACTCTAGCTTACAATATTCTTCCTTATCTCTATCTTTTTTTTATTCCCGAGTGAGACTATCACAAACAAACACACACACACACACACACACACACACACACACAAAAAACAAAAACAAACGATGCACACACAGCACTGTCCATAGGCCTACTCCACGGGGAATATAGCACAAGAGAGATTGAAAGGTAAAACAGTCAACATAGTGAGGGCTGAAAGGGATAGTGGGTAAAAGATATACTTACTGTAGGCTGAGAGGAAGTGAAAGAGGAGAAGAGAGGTGAAAAAAAGAACACTTAGAAAAAATAGAGACACTAAATGTGGTGGAAATGTTGTGGCATTCGAGGTAAAGAGGGCCAAAGGGAACCAACTGCATAAGGAAAGTCCAAGAAGTAGAGGAGTGGGGGATAGACCAAGTGCCAAGTACCTCAGAAATCAACTGCCAGGCATAGAAAGAGCCAGACACTTTACACACACACAATTTGAAATTGAGCCCATTTCAGCTCTGCATTTGAACCAGCGGCTACACCCAATGTTCCCAAACACTTTGGATTTGGGTCCCGCTCCCCTCCCAAGAAAAGAAAAGCATGAAATTGACCAAGTCAAAGCTGCAGCCTGAGCAGAGCTAATGTTCTGCCTTCGTACCGCAGGCAGTATGTGATTCTGCTGTTGTGATCTGGGACAGAGTTTGTGTCCCCCCCCCCCCCCCCCCCCCCCCCCTTGAAATGTTTTATGAGGCTTTTGTTATGTTTGGGATCATGCTTTTTGAGATGGTTAAACCAAAGTACGTTGGGTTCAAATATGACGTTTTTGAAGGAATATGCTAATAAAAGTGCCAAAACACCCCATGAAAAAACCCTTAACTTAACTAAGGGTGCGTTCACACCTGCCTTGTATAGTCCGGTTGAATCGAACCCTGGTGCGTTTAGCCGCTTGGTGCGGTTCATTTGGGTCGGTGTGAACACAGTCCGAGACCTCTGAAGTGAACTAAACAAACGGACTCTGGTCCGCTAAAATAGGTGGTCTCGGAGCGCTTGCTAGTGAACTCTGGAGCGGTTCATTGCTGGTCTGAACGCAGTCCGCACCAAAACATAGGAAGCGTAGTATTTACGTGTCACAAGAACTTGGATATCTTCAAAATCTTTAGCGAAAGAGTCTTTGAAGATATCCGCGGTTGTTTAGTTAAAGAGTGAAGCAGAATGAAGTGTTGAACAGTGTCGTGTAAAGTAAAAGTTCTCCGTCAGCTACATAAAAGTAAGAACACCTGTCGTCGGTGAAACGCCCCTCCTGACTGCAGAACGTCTCTCATTGTGTTATAATGTTTTTTAACGGACGTTGTCTGATTATATAATCATATGCGCGGGCCGCTAGTGTCTGTTGATCTCCAGATTAACAGCAGCATGAGAATAACCTGCCGAAAGTGCCGATGCTCCATGGCGGAGGCTCCGGTAGAAATTGCCGGGATTTGCGTTTTTACCCTGTGACGAAGGTAACTTCGTCACTATGGACTGACGGCTTCAGGCCGGGTAATATTGCACTTTATTAGCGTGATTGCACAGTACAGTTGACATTACATATTTGCACATAATTCATACTAATTATTGAGCAAGTGCAAATAATATGTTGTCTGTGGCTGATGATTGTGTGCACCTGGTGTCCTGTGTTGTCTCCTCCCCCCTCACCTGTGTCTTGTTGTGCTGATTAGAGTGGGTGTATTTAGGGTCTGTTGCCCTGTCTGTTGAGAGGCTGGTAGGATGTGTGAGATCCTTGTGGCTGCAGGATGTGTGCAAGGAGAACAGCAGGATTGAGGCTGTGTGTCATGTGTTCCTGACTTAATAAATGCCCACACCAGGTTGTATTTTGGACGTTCTGCCTCTGCCTCCTTGCTTGGTGTGGGCCGCTCAACGGTCAGCTTCACATACCCCCTTAATGTCTGACCAATGGTTAAACAGCATTTCCGTGCACATGACTTTATCGTCCGTTTGAGTTTTGCCCGTCTGAACGCAAACCGAACCTTCTAAACAACCGCGGATGCCTTGAAAGACTCTTTCGCTAAAGATTTTTGAAGATATCCACGTTCTTGTGACACGTAAATACTACGCTTCCTATGTTTTGGTGCGGACTGTCTTCACATCAGCAATGAACCGCTCCAGAGTTCGCAAGCAAGTGCTCCGAGACCACCTATTTTAGCGGACCAGAGTCCGGTTCTTTAATTCACTTCAGAGGTCTCGGATTGTGTTCACACTGACCCAAACGAACCGCACCACGCGGCTAAACGCACCAGGGTTCGATTCAACCGGACTATACAAGGCAGGTGTGAACGCACCCTAAATCCTCATACCGTAGCCTACCGTTGTTAGTGTGTCATAGATCCTTACACATAACCTTTGATCTGGCATCTGGTTAAATTCGATTTTTAGTAGTGCTGTCAAAATTATCGCGTTAACGGCGGTAATTAATTTTTTGAATTAATTGCGTTAAAATATTTAACGCATTTAACGCATGTGCAGAATGGCCCGCCCCATACGTGCCACCAGTGGCAGCGCCAGGGTATGGCTGGGGTAGGCTACACCAGAAATGGCTTAGCCCCACCATGAAAAATGGTGTTAAAGTAAGCAAAATAAAGTCTGCCAACTCGCGCGTAGTAAATTGCACAGACAGCAGTTAGTAAGATTGATTTCAGTAGCCACGGTTTTGAAAACTTTTGTCACGTAGTGATCGTCTTCTCAATAGAACATCTTTGATAACGGCGTGGTGTTGTTGCAGGAAGTCCCGACGGAGAATACTTTTGCTGTAGTACAGGGGTGCACATAACTGGTACGCAGGTTATGTGCGTAATCTCTCTGAAATGCGTACCGTCACTTGTGTCACAAAGCGCATTTGCGTACCGACGTACTTGTGAAGCTTTTCCAGAAGGCGGTTAGATCACCGGACGACAGAGTCGCTCTCCGTGTGCACAGACAGGGCTGCTGTTAACGTCGGTCTGTACAACGGAATTGTGCCAAAACTACGCCAACCGGCTGCGGAGGGAGACTCCCCCCCTTCAC